TGCCAAAAACTGGGGGTTTTGGGGGTCTTCAGGGTCTTTGGGAGCTTTTATGTGCTATTTGATTGCATAGAGACAACATAGCCAGCCTGGTTAAATTACCCGTTTTTGCCAAAAACTGGGGGTTTTGGGGGGTCTTTGGGAGCTTTTATGTGCTACTAGTATTTTCTGATTGCATAAAGACAACATAGCCAGCCTGGTTGAATTACCCCTGTTTTTTAACTGGGCTAATCAGAAAACAGCCGAAGACCACCAAACCCCCAGTTCTATAAGCCTGCTATAGAGGCTACCAGAACCTCTTGGTTACTGGGTGAACGCTCTAACCATTATGCCACATAACACCATACAACTTGTCACATTAAGCCATTCATAATCTAACTTTAATTGCTTTTTACACCTATCTGATGAGAAGGCCCCAGTTGTGTTGGATGATAGATCCCCCAGTTCATCAAGCTGACAACTGAGTGACAGGAACAGAAAAGATCATAATTTGATAGAAATTGGGATTATGAGAGAAAATTATCTTGAAAGTTCATCTGTGTTGGTGTAAGTCATTGTGAAGTAAGTTTAACAGTAATCACCTGCACAAGAATTGGACTTGCTCAAATTTCCGACTGTACAATACATGTCTTTGTCAAGGAATGAGCAATCCACCGCTTCTGTGATATGTTATGTTTTATAGGTGTCTGTGGCGCCCCCCGTCTTTGTTGTTTTTAATTTTGTTTTTGCATGCTTTTGGATGGCTTCCCTCAACAGTTACTGTCAAGTTAGGCCACACCAATTTAATTTGATGGTTCTGTGGTTTTAGAAAATATGTAATAGAACAAGATGGCGGACTATTTTAGCGATGTTCTCCCTACAATATCTTGGTTTCAAAGAATTTTAAGGGCTTATCCTGCCCTGCTAACCCCAAAACTGCACTAGTCTTATGCGGGCTTCTTTCACGACATAGTAGCCTGTATTTTAGACCAAATAGCAGGGTGATGCTTAAGGAATCGGTGGAACCGGTGATCGCGGTGGCAAGTCACCAAATGACCTCAAGTTACCAATAGTAAGGATCGTCTGTTTCCGCGGAATGGATAAAAAAATTCGTATGTTTCTACTAATGGATCGTATGCATTCCGTAAACTTCGTATGTTTCCTAGTAGGATCGTATGAATTCCGTAAAATTCTGATGAATTCTTTGGCACCCCTGCATGGTGGTACACAAAAGTTTTAAGGCATAAGGTTTGCTTCATTTATACTTGTAAATTTCTGAGGACCAAAATGAAATCATTGAGCCAAAAATATTCCTAACCTCCTCTTCTTTAATTCAATCAAATCAAGCAAAGCTTTGCACTCCCTACATCATGACACCATGCATATCAAGTGACTTAAAATCACTGATTCTTGTCATACACTATCATCGTTTCCTATTATACAGTTGCAAAGCAAAATGTACCTTATAGATAATCAAATTTCTGATACAAAATGAAATGATAGAGACCTATGATATCCAAGTAGTTCATTATAAAGGTAAGTACAAGGTTGAATGGATTCATTCCTCAAGTTATTATCCATCATCTTTCCTACCTCAAGTGCATCCAAGTAAAATCATTTTCATTTCATACGTAAGGCCACGCCAATTTAATTTGTTGGTTCTCGGATTCGCCTCTTCGTTTTTTTCTGATTTGCAAAAAAAAAATTGATTCTGGTCCTGAATCAACTGAAAAATGCTCATGTTTTGCCCCCCAAAAAGTTGAGGAAAGTCATTTTCTTCCTAGTTGTTACAGTTTTCCCATCTATCATTGCAGTGGTTTGATTAAAAGTTCAAAATTCAATGTTTAAATTTTAACCCAGCCTTTTGTGTTGACTTCATGGCTCATTTTGTAGCATTTAAGCCTATAATAGGATGCCTAGACCTGTTTTTATTTTTATTTTTTTCGCCCTGTCGCTTCATATTTTTTCTGAAAAAATCAGAGAACCAACAAATTAAATTGGTGTGGCCTAATTCGTTAACTCTTAGATTTGTAACGTTAGCTCACGCCTTTGTAAAAATACAATGGATTCTTAATTATTAGTGACGGGTTCTTTCCGGGATTTTCTTTTTTGTTGAAAAAATTAATTAAATTACGGTTAAAATGGCAACTGTTAAGTATCGAAATAAACTGTGTAGTTGTTTTGCAGTGGTATAATGTACACATAATTTACGTCCAAATAGATCTTTTGGTAGCAACAAGACAGTATCAAATTGGCAGTCAAAATCCATATGCCATAAGTAAAACAAATTCTCACCCGAACAATATTGTAGAAGACGAACAAATTATGAAGAACAATATAAAATGCTAAAATAATCAAATGTTATAGACAGCTGTAAATATTGTAAACTACATCACAATTCAGACTGCCTCAGCCTGCGATGTTGTTTTTAATAAATAAACTTCGTAAAAAAATGCTCACTCTAAATTCTAACTTCCTAGGGTTGACCTCTTTAAAAATCATACGTTGTCTCTGTTGTCAAATCTCATAAATATCTTGTTATGTGGCAGTAAAAGAAGGGATTGTTTCCGTGCTCAGTGTGCCATCACTGTTCTTCGTTGTTGGGCCGCTGGGAGCGAATCTTGAGTTCGGCGATGCGGTTCAGGATCTGACGGCGCAGGGTCGGACCCATCGCCGCAACGCGGTCATTACCGGAACCATCACCGTCAGTCTCTCGGGGGAGGGTGAACGTTCCGCCGGACAGCCACTCCTGAAGGTCCCCGGCTCGGTGGGCGAAGCGGTCCTCAGCCGCCGCGGAGGCGTCCAACTCCGGTAGGGGGCGCCTCCTGTGGGAATCATCACAGTCAATATGGACCCATCCTGACTGTCCATCACAATTAGCAGCTCAACCAATGGTCGCATGGCAATCATCGGCTCGACCAATGAGCTGTACGTCCGTCAAATATTTGCATACAGTTTTTACAGGATCGGTCAATACTCGCATGAAGATGAAGTTCATACAGCCTACGAGGATTACATTGTAAATGTACAGATTAAAGACCTTTTTCCCCACCGGAGATTGCTTCAATTCCTTTGTTGAGATGTACAAGGTTAGCGACACTTGAGGGAGTGTCTGAATTTCCGCCTCAAAATTGGAACTCGAAGATCTATATCTGGGCCTTGTAGTGTTATCTCTCACTTGGAAGTGACCTTGTCTTCACAAGCGGCTTTGAAACAGAAAAAATCTCACTTCTTATTCAAACGCATCCACTGTAACTTCAGGGCGGTTCAAAACTGGATGGTCAACCATACTGATATCTGTAAGGCAAAAATGTGATGTCGCTGATAGAAAAAAAGTTGCTTGTTTTGTATCGTAGACTGGTTCTATCTATTTATTGGTGGTATCAGTAAAGAGACGCCTCAGGTGGCTTGTGTTGGGGCTATTCCAAACGCTTTAAGTATGCAAAGATGACGAAAATGTGCTAAGAAATGGCAGTAAATGTCAATATCAGACAGATTTAATCATCCAGAAGATTTTTGTTTTGCCCCCTTAAAAATTGATGCCTGTAATTATATAACATTAGTCTTAAAATGCTAAGATAGTAACCGGTGTAAATCGGTGGAAAATATATTATTCTCTTGGAAAAATGCGTCGTTTTCGAGACTTGATATGCCTTTTTCTGAGAGCACAAGGAGAACGAATACAAGAGGAACAAATATGTGGTTTGAAATTACTGTTCTAGAATAATTCAGAACAAGAAGTTGTTGGTATTACATGGACATTTGGCTGCAAATCGTGATATTGGTGACTTGAACAAGTTGGGATTTGACAGAAAACCTGCGATTTATGGTTTTGATAAACCATGCCTTTATCAATGATTCATTCATTCTATCATTCATTCATTCTATCATTCATTCAATCATTCATTCATTCTATCATTCATTCATTCTATCATTCACTCACTCACTCACTCACTCACTCACCTGACCGGCTTGCCACCAGTACGCCTTCTTAAGATGGCAGATCCACTCGTTTGGCAATGTTGGTGCCATGGTGGGCTGCAGAAGAAAGAACAACACTTCTCTTAGATTCAAGAGTTCGGAGATCTCATACCTCCAAGAACTATCTAGATCTTGTGTGATGGTGACTGTGTCACCTTCCCATTCACCATGGTGTCTACAAGTCTTTCTTTATCAGCTGTCAAGGAGGTCATGTATAGAAAAAACACCTGTTAAAATAGCGAGTGCTTCCAGGTGTAGACGTGATAAATAATGACTTTCTCACTTTCTCCCTCTGGGACAGACTGAACTTCCAACCATATCTATTACAACCTGACCTAAAGGCCATGCGGAAACACAGACACAAACACGGACACACACCGTCACACACAGAGAGAGAGGGGGGAGGGAGAGAGAGGGGGGA